CGTGGCCGTCGGGGCGGGGCTCGCAGTGATGTCTGGCGTGATCTGGTTGATGAGTTGCCCGCCCTAATAAGTGGTTAACTTGATGAAAAGTGAGGGTGAATTTGGTTTGAAAAGGGGTGAATTTGGTTTGAAAAAGGGTGAATTTGAAGTGAAAATGGTATATATGGGGATCGACACGCTCGGAGTCCTCATACCATAAAGTGGACGATCGATCGTATTCAACCGCTAAATAGAGACGCGGTCGTAAACTAAAGGTCTGTGAGCATTCCAGAAAGATCAAGCAGAAGATAGTAAATGTTTGCACCTCGTCTGTGGACATTTGTCAACCGCGGAGCGTCCTTTTTCTCCTTTCTTTTTTTTTTGCTTCCTTTCTTTCCTTGCTTCCTTCCTTCGCACTTCGTTGACCTCTACGTTCAGCTGCTGTGTCACTGAGGCAGCGTTCATACTTCGCGACAGCAGCGCTTCGGTCGCGCGTTCGACGCGATCGATGAGCATACTTTCGACTGCATCGATCGCGTCAAATGCGCGACCGGAGCGCTGCCGTCGCGAGTCTGAACGCTGCCTAAAACAGACGCGAAGACACCTCTGGACACTCGCAACGAGAGTATGTCCGGTTGACAAGAGTCCTGTAACCCTTTGCACCTTCCCTTTGACGACGATCCAGTTAAGTAGCTGGCGAAGTATCCTCAAGTGCGAGAGCTACTTAGCTGGAATTCCAGGCATATCACCATCTTCTTTCGTTGAATGTCACTCCGTCTTCAGCACCCTTCAAACAAAACTTCCGAAAATACGATAACAGATGTGAGGCTTACCAGATAGCATTTTCTCTCGGATTCCTCCATCTGTCCTCGAATGTAGTCAGACGAGGATCCATCAGACCAAACAGGTAGGTCTGTTCTACCGGTTATAATGAATACTTGATTGCTTCTTTTTTCTTTGCTGAGACGCCAGTTAAACACCAACTCTGCAAAAACCTGATCTGAGTGAGAGAGGAGAGGTCTGGTTAGCGTTCCAACAGTGAAGTTCAGTTCTGTGCGCGTGAATTTCTGATGACCTTCTTCTCACCGTTTAGGCGCTTTTATTCACTAAACGATCCCAGGGGTGAGACGAACTGTACAGTCACCTCCAAGGATGCTCTTCGCCATGTGCGAGGAGCATTGTTCTTGTGCGGGAAAGGACCCGCAGTAACAAGTAAAGCGCCGCAGGCCGATCTTTTGTAGATATGTAATAATGTGAACTCAATCAATGCCAGTATATTGTTGTGTAAGCCCGCACATAATGCCATTATAGCCTTGAAACAAGCGACTTGAAATCATCTCAACCTAAGTATTACACGGCTCACTAAAATGGGTCATGACTCATCACAGGGTACGGTAGCTATACGGTAGTACTATGATTCTATAAGATCTCCTAACTCGGAGACCCTCGGTGCAAAACCCCGCAATCCTAAGTTACATGGTTACCATATTAGTAAGCAGATTTTCGTGGGGCAATCGTTGTTGTCCATTTACGTCGTTGGACGTTTTAGTTGAATAAAGTGTATATTGTCTCACTATCATCACCAGACGCACCGATGGGACTCAGCCGTCCTGTTGAACCATGACACAATCATAGGCAGCGTTCAGACTTTGCGACTGCAGCGCTTCATTCGCGCGATTCGACGATCGATGCGCATGCTTTTGACTGCATCGATCGCGTCGAACGCGCGACCGAAGCGCTGCCATCGCGAAGTCTGAACGCTTTCTAATGTCGTATTGTTTGATAACTGCTGTTTAACGCCGCAGTACGCGATCCGAAAGCTATCACAAGAATGCTGAGTTATGGGCAAAAGTCGGACCACGGACGGGATTCGAACCCGCATCTTCTGCTTACCGGGCAGTTGCGTTCCCTATTACGCACTCAGCTCAAGGCTATGGCACAAATAGCCATTGAGCTGAGTGGTCAAAAGTGGCCTCGGTAGCGTAATAGGGAACGCAACTGCCCGGTAAGCAGAAGATGCGGGTTCGAATCCCGTCCGTGGTCCGACTTTTGCCCATAACTCCGACTTTTGCCCATAACTCAGCACTGTTGTGATAGCTTTCTAATGCCGTCTAATGCACTTCTCAAATCCGACCTATTCGAGAGAAGGCGACGCCCCTCTCACTGGCCAGCGGAACACCTAACTTTCATTTCTAACGGCTTCCCGGTGTACGGTTAATCCGCCACTAGCTCTCATGTTGATTGTGAGAGTGAAGTGATAGAGGAAAGACCCCCCCAAACAGAGACAGGTCGTCCGATCACGCCCACCCTTCTTTGCGTACATACAAGCTCGGCATGGGTTCTATTAGGTTGGACACTCGGAAATGAGGTCCATCTCTTCTTTTTATCATAGTTGCCGTAGTTCTATGAGAATGGAAATGAGAAGCTGTGCAAAAGAAGGGCACTAGTCCTAGTCATTAATGGTGATTACCTTGTAGATTGGAGATGAAATTTAGTGAAGGAAAATTTAGTTCAAAAATCTGGTCAAAGTTTCCGTCCAACCCAATACATAGGTACGATAAAATTGAGCTATCCCTGAGCCTCATGTGTCATACGATTTTCTTCGGAATTGCCAATGAGAACTCGTTCACAAACACTTTTATTGGTGAGCTTTCGCTGTGTTAACAGCTTCCTCAGACCTTAATATAGCATCAAGTACACAAAGCATTACAATTCCTAACAACATAAGTTGGTGGAAGTACAAACCAGGTTGACCTGCCCGTCAACGGTGATTTAGTTAGATTCTGTAATACAATGTATAAAACAATGGTTAAGGTGCAACTGTTAACAGTCCAACTACAAGGGATGTACGGCTTACCCCGGTGCAACTGCCAGCGCAACTAAAACTACTAGAAATGCGACGCGCGTGACATTTGCCAGTATTTCGTTATCACTCCCGCTACCCTATTAGCCTCATTGCTTCCATGAGCTCGTCCCTGTTGTTGATCTCGGGGGATAACCGCTTGATAGAATATCACCGTTACTAGCCATCGTCTATTTGGATCGAATTGAGAGAAGATCTTTGATCACTGGAATCATATTTTATAAGCGCTACATAGACGATGTCTTTCTCATCAGTTCTACCGCCGATGCGATGAACACGATGCTTCAAAATTTGAACTCGTGTGATCCCAACATACGTTTCACGGTGGAACATCCTGACGAATACGGCTTCCTTCCGTTCCTCAATACGAAGGTCCGGATCAACCATGGCATCAAGGAACTCGAATGGTATAGGAAACCGATGTCAAGAAACATCCTCCTGCATTCTCGAAGTGCACACCCGTTATACATGAAGGCTAACGTGATAAGGAACCTCATCACAACGAAGACGAGAACCTGCACTAGAGAATCAGTAGAAGTGGACCGGAAAATAGCAGCGATCTTGGAAGAGAATGGTTATACGACGTGTCAACCGAGAACTTGGAGACCTTTCTTTGCTACTGCAGGGATACCACTGGTATTACCCTATGTCAACGAAAGAATTGCAAAGAAAGTAAACCACGTCATCAAATCGTCGCGTCTTCCAGTCAAGCTGATTTTCCGACCACCTGCTGACCTCAGGAGCTTGCTGACATCATCAAGGATTTACGAAGACAAGTGTGGCCGAGCGAATTGTACCTACTGTACAGAAAGTAAAATCTGTCAATTAAGAGGAACAGTTTACCTGGTCACATGCGAAGGATGCGGTCAAAGATACGTGGGTGAGACCATGAGACCACTACACAAGCGGATGGATGAACACGTGCGAGCTTTACGCAATCCCGCTTCTTATCCAAAGAGCGGTTTCTCGCGGCACCGTGTTCTACATCACCAGAATGAAGCAGCTCCCGCTCTGAGAGTTTCTGTGATACACCGCACGAAAGAAGCCCCATTGGAAAGAAAATTGCTCGAAGCCTCGCTATCAAGCGGCTATCCCCCGAGATCAACAACAGGGACGAGCTCATGGAAGCAATGAGGCTAATAGGGTAGCGGGAGTGATAACGAAATACTGGCAAATGTCACGCGCGTCGCATTTCTAGTAGTTTTAGTTGCGCTGGCAGTTGCACCGGGGTAAGCCGTACATCCCTTGTAGTTGGACTGTTAACAGTTGCACCTTAACCATTGTTTTATACATTGTATTACAGAATCTAACTAAATCACCGTTGACGGGCAGGTCAACCTGGTTTGTACTTCGAGCAACTTAGTTGTTAGGAATTGTAATGCTTTGTGTACTTGATTTTATATTAAGGTCTGAGGAAGCTGTTAACACAGCGAAAGCTCACCAATAAAAGTGTTTGTGAACGAGTTCTCATTGGCAATTCCGAAGAAAACCAATACATAGGGCACTTGAAAGGAATTTTCCATTTTTTTCTCACCTGTGAATACTCAGGTGCTGATGTACTTCAGCAGGGCCACCCGGCGGCGCGGGGGCCGCTGATCTGCCAGAAGATGCCGTTGCTGCATTCCGCTGTCACGACGAAAGTCGAGCACGACATAATGTAACTTGCAGACATACCGCACTACTGAACTACGTTAGTTTTTCACTCATTTCTCACTCCCTTTCTCGCTCACCCTTACTAGCATTTCGAATCTTTAGCTAGAATTGATGCCTTTCTTTGGGGAGGGGGGGAGGGACGGCGAGGAGTCACCGCCGCGCTCGAAACTAGGTCACCGCGCGCGGCGACCTGTTCGCGTGGCGCGGCGGTGAGTCCTGACCTGGCATTTTGCCAACTTCCGATCAATATGACCCTATCGCAGTTTGCTTGGAGCGTTCTTTCTTTTCCTCATCTTCCATCTGCCAAGAACATGTCCAAACAGGTAAACATGTTCAAACATGCAAACATGTTAAAGCATGTAATCGCCGCGCGCGGTGACCCACTTCCCAGCGCGGCGACCTAGTTTCGAGCGCGGCGGTGAGTCCTGGTAGACAGTTCCTTCTCTGAAGTGCTGATTTCTAAAACGCAGGCTACTGGGCTAATCGATTTTCATATAAGAGGGTGTTAGTAAGAAGATCCTGGACCTGTGATGAAATTCTCCTCGTCCTTGTTGTGAATTGACACTAGGTGAGAGCTTTGATTCTTACAGTACTGCTCAGCCATTTCAAATGTGATAAAATGATCCGCTTCGGGTGGAATGATGTCCCGGACTCTTATAACCTAGGAATGACAAGGATGAAGTAATCCAAATACAATAACATAGTCTGAAAGTAGCTCAAAGACAGCCCTGCTGTTCAGAATCGCAGCAACCCGCTCAATTTCGGATACTACAGACCCACTTTAACCATCGATTCATTCTTGGCTCCTTCCAGTGCAACCCATTCTCCAGCAAGGGCTTTGTTAAGCGTAGCACTCAGGACGTGACCATGGACCACGGCTGCAGCAATGGTCGACAGGACCAGGGCAAGACGAAGCATGCAGGAAGCCATAGACGTCGAAGTAGTCCAAAGTAACAGCAGAAATGAGACCTACCGCTCCGACTAGCTTTTATATCGGTTCTTATTTACATATCACTTCTTGATATTGAATATGATAAGAACGGATATGAAAGCACACTACGTTCCCCAACTAACTGAAACGCGCTTCGCGGTGAAATGCTTCAGCAGGATAGTGCAAGACCCAAGTATGACTCTCCCTAAAGAGGCTATTTTCTTTACATTTCAGGGATGAAATCGCTTTGTACAAAAAGCAGCAGCAACCCAGGGCTTTGATCTCCAGTAATCCAATGCACGTTCTTCCACCACGACTCTTCTCCCCCCAATTTTCTAAAAAAAGCTGCTCAGTATGAGAGAACATAGGACGGGAAGTGCACGCTACAGCAGAAACCATAAAAATCCTCTTCAGAATGCCCACATCTTTGCACTTCAATACAGATCAGCAAGCTAAATACGGCTTGCCCCCCCCCCTTGATGACGATTTAGATCGTGGGTTGTGGACTTATCGCGAAACGCGTACCGCGCGTCATGCAGTGGCATGTGGGTTAAAATTGTCTGCAGGGTACGGTGGACAGCAAGAAATGAAGACAACTGCAATATGGCTGCAAAGGACCGTTTGAACATTGGTGTTACCTGACTCATAGCGCGTGTCACAGCGACAGTGGGACATTGGCTCAAGAATGCAACAAGGTGGGGGGGGGGGACAGGGACACTGTGGATGATACAATGTGATAGCAGTTGATAGGGGCTTATGGCAATTACGGAAGATCAGTCACAACACTCACAACAAAAAGCTGGCTTAAGAATCAGGATCTCAGCATTTGGAGCATAAATTGTTCCTATTTCCCCATCAGTAGAGATATCATGGATGGCCATGAAGCTAAATGGTTTCGAGTGGTGGGTGTTCATAGAGAGCTGTAATGAACGATTATCACTAATATCATAATCCTCTTTAGAACGTTTATGGAGAGCCCTTGGAGCATGCCATTGACCGGAAAGGTATGATGGGGGGGGGTAGCGATGCAATGCGTAGAACTCTTCAGGTGACAAAGATAAACGAACGGCTAAGTATGTTCAACAGACATACCGGCGCAGTTCGGCGGTGGGCGGCGGTTTGGCGAAATTTCGTTGCTTCACTAGTTCGTTGTTTTGTTGCTTACAAGTCTCACTCTGGTGAAACCTGTGAACTCCTGTGAAGCTGATGTCTGTGCTCCTTAAAGGCAGCGTCCGCGATCAACCAAAGTGAAAAATCCTCCAATGAAAACGAACGCGGAGTACGCAACCATAGCGGATATCCCACTCTTGCGGCTCGAAATGTATTGATTGACGAGGGCGGAGTCAACAAGGCTGAGCTGACGCCTCCTTCCCTGTTAATCCCGCCCCGACTGGTTAACAGTTATCAGTGCTTGCTGGCATTGATAAACGCTAAGTTTCTGGAGTTCCGAGGCGGCGACGTGTATTGGAGAACTCACCAAAGGTCTGCGAAACTCGTCCACATGCCTTAAATTTCGTAGGGTCTTATTTCACGCTCTTCCACACCTTTTTCCTACTTTTTTTGATTAGTGCTTCATTGGCCACCTGTTCTAACAAATTTGACCCCTGAGACCTGCCAAAGTCCATCGCGGGCGCTGTCTTTAAACTACACGTTAAAACTTATCAACAGATGGGAAATAGAGAAATTGCGAAGTGCCCTCCCCCCATGACCTGCCCCCAAAAACTGTATCCTTGCCTATCTGGATTCATGCCCTGGCTATGTGTGAGATGAATGGAAGCATGCCTCTTTCTCTACTCAAAGGTGGCACGCGAAAGGGATTGAAGGGTAGTGACCCTCGTGTGGCGTCTCCTCTGCTGCGGATCCATTCACCTCGAACATGGCAAGAGCCATTCTTGGTGGTGAGTGTACAGTCTATCTTTGAGCGTCTTGAGCGCATACAGCATAAAGCGCTTAACAGCCCGAACTGACGAGTTTCTTGGAATGTGCAGGCACAGTTCGGCTTGGTGGGCGCATCAAATAGCCTGTACAAGTATCCCTATAAAGACCTGTAAAACCTAACCGAGTGGCTCACTTGTATCATTTCGCACCTTCACAAAATTGTACAGGATTCCCCGAAATGAGTTAACGTAAGCTAGCAAAAGAAGACTGACAGCGTTGCAAAATAGCCCTCCCAAGCCGAACAGCGCCAGAGTTGCCAGGCGTAGAGCGGTTCTTTCGGAAGAACTCGCAAAAAAGGAGGTAGGGAGAGTCTTTAACAGTACCTGCAGGACCTGATGTCACACGACCTCTTCGATTCATCATTGGCGGCTGCTGTGTGGTACAAGCACGGTGTGTGTTAGCCAAATTGTTTTATTTAATATGCTGCTAATAAATGGTTCAATATCGATTTCCTCTCGAATATCGATCGATTTAGAGAATGTAATATTTACATAACTGAAAATATTTGAAGACCAGTGAACGAAGACAACAACATGGCAATATAACAGCTATGTGACGAATAAACGCTTCAATAGGCTTAACATACATATACTCTCTCTCTATGTCAAAATTATGAAAAGAAACCAGCAAAAACCGCGCATGTTATAGAAGATAGCGTCCGTTGGACAAGTGCCAATAGCTGAAGAATCTTCACAATATTATTACTGATAATCTCATACATGGGAGCTGACTAGGGGGTGATAGTGAAAGTAAATAAATGAAAATGATAGCTCCTGGAAGGATAAATATCACAGCAATGACTCAAAAACGGCAAGTGTGAGCAAGGAAAACCACCTCTATTTGAACAATCCGTGTCTGTGACTGAAGGGACAGCGAAGATGGCACATACGAGGGACAGACTCTGAGCATATGGGGATACTATGTGAAGGAAAGCAAAAGGAGTCAGTAAAAAACGGGTAAATCCAAGGTACAGCGCAGAATTAGAAGGCAAGCGTCTTCTTGAGCGTGTGGTAGGGACAATCTCCTACCAGGAGGTTCCCCCTTTGCTTGTCTCAGAGGCACATTCTGAGCAAATGGGTGGGGACTACCAACCATTGTGCTATTCTCATTGATATGCATCTTCTTACTGCTGTAAGCAAGAGGGGTGGAGAAGGCGCAATGCTAGTGAGTCCCCGCCCATTCACTGATCGTGGAACAAGGCTTGAAACGGTAAGGTCGCGTTGGTCGCGATCGATGCAGTCAGAGGCGTCGATCGCGCGACCGAAGCGCTACCGTCGCAAGGTCTGAACGCTGCCTAATGCTGCTCAGGCTAGCAGGCGCAACAATGGATTCTTTCTGGCGATACCTTATAATCCCGTGCACACGCCCAAAGTGTGGCTCTTGACTGAAGCAATCAGTTCAGGACCGATTACTGGTCAGCCAAGTGTACCATCACGACGCCTTTATTGTGACAAAAGTGAACTGAGATCTCAGATCAGGGTTATGATTGGAAAAGTTAGATGTACTGAGGTGTATCCTGGCCTGTGAGGAGACGGAACATACTCGTCGGCATGGTCTTCATATGAATTTCGCCAATAGCCGTTGCCAGCATGTTCACTATACGATCGTGCGCCACGGCCACCACCGACTGGTTGTTGATTTCAATGATCCGATGACCCACGCGGATTCCGCCCCGCTCGGCTATTCCACCTAAAAGGCAATTTGAGATGGAAGATTTTAGAACTAAAATTTGGTCATGACCTCGATAATTAACGAACAAATTGACACCATTCTGAACGGAAAACCCTAGTTGATACTTAGTATCAGGTCGCCGTATCCTCACTTCAACAACAGGAGGGGTGGACACAACTGTCAGACGTACTGCTGTAGCAGTTCTGAAACTGGACGACTCCTTCTGTTCATATCGCATTAAGCAGTCCCCTCTGATAGTATGGGCGGGTTCTGCTCACATTTGCGCCTTCTTCACTGCACGCCGGGGAGGTGCGGCATAACGGCAGGTCTGACCCCGCCCATACTATCAGCGTGGACTGCATCCTCGAACGTCGAAAAAAAGCAACATACTTGACATTTTTGATATTGGCCTGAGCAGCTGACAAAGGAAGACCAACTAAGGATATGCCATTGATGTTGATGATCTGATCGCCAATATTCAATTGATTAGAACGCGCAGCTGGTCCAGCTGGGTTCATGTGCGCGAGTACCACAGTCGGGAGCATCGATCCCCAGCCAGATTCGACCTTTAAACACATACCATGAGTATGTCCTGACATCTTTCACAGAACACAAGTAGCTGGACGAACCACAACAATTCCAAGTGGTTCACCGCTCTTTTTCGGGACAACCACATCCTTTTGGGTTTCCTTTCGCGCAAACATCTCTAACTCATCGCCGAGAAGTTCTTGGGAATTCAACACTTCCTGGAAAGCAAAATAGTGCAATGTGATACCGTAATGGATCGATTAATCAGAATCTACCTGGTAATCGATTTGCCTGAGATAGGATGGATCGTCTATACCATTCGCTCGCAAAAATTCAACATATGCAACCTAGAATAATCCGCTTTGCCAATATAACCAAAGGAAGGACTCAAGGAAACAAACCTGGAAAGCCTGGCCGATCGACTGCGCAATGAAAGATGCCTCATCAGATTCAAACACATGACAGATCACTTTCGGTGTCTTTTTGATGCCATCCACTCTGAATGACCGGTGATGTGAGAGTTATGAGTGTGGGCTAGATAGCCTATGTTGCAACAATGAGGTCTGGCAAGCGGCATCCTGTACGCGGCATCGGGACCCAAATGATTTGACGAAAGATGCTTTTTTTTCGTAAATTGACCAAGAGTTGGCGCCAATAACCTTTGAGAGCATACTTGTTAGTAACTCTCCTACTGGGTTGAGTCGAAGTCATTGCCTGTTAGGATAACCTCAGCCTTGAACAAGGTATACTTCAAATGATCTAAAGGTTATTAGCGAGTTGCCACTCCACGAACCTCCTGACCGATACACAGGAGAAATTAGTAGTCGTGCCGGCATTGTGCAGGAGATCCAGGCCATGACATCGTACGCGCGGACAGGCCATTCCTAGCTAGTTGTCCTGCGATAACAAACACTTACGGCGTAAAAACTGCTACACACATTATTGCCCAGCATGTAAGGTGTGTGAAGTGGCTGGGCTAACGCAATGATGGACCAAAGTGGGGGAAAACGCCCTGGCTGCGCTCCAATCTACGTCGCCCTTTTTACAGCGCGCTCTTGGCACGGGGATAACGGATGTATGTCATGAACACGCCTCTGGTCCAATATAATCCAAATGACTCGAACGCCAAAGAAATTGTATCGAAGTCAATATCGCAATAAAACCGCTAATTGCGGCGATGGCGTGACAGTGCCCGCCCGAACAATGCTGTACGTAAACTTGCACTGTGCCTACACAGCGTAGAAAGGACGATTTTAGCTGTCTGGGATCCATTGTTCAAAATGTCTCGGCTTAATTTCACGCAATTGGTAGAGTCATGACAAAATGATTGTATTCCTCCATAGAGGAATAATTTAGATCACGAGTGGACCATGCCGAGGGTTTGCACTCCCTACGGGGCTTTCTCTAAGTTCTAGAAGAAGTTCTTTGTTTCGAGGAATTAAAGAAAAAAGTACCCAAAGGAGATCTTGGCGAATCAATGAATAAAACAAGGGGGCACTTGGAAGCCACTCAAGGGTTGTGGACATCACAATTTTGTTCGTGCTCCAAAGTGAAAGGAGTCGTGTTGAATAGCGAGAGAGGAGACACACAAAGGGCGCTTCTCGGCTGGTTTTCCCTTTTTTACTAGACTTAACTTACACATCAAGTAAAATTATCGTGGTCTACCTTCGAATGCTACCATCCTCTGCCTCATTTCCCTCAGGTGTTGAGGCCTATAAAAGAGCTACACAAAGGAAAGAAAATCAATCACTAACTGATTGCACTGTTCATCACTGCTACTTGCCGACATCCTTCGAGCCATCAATACGACCAAATCTCCAATATCGGCAATGTAGGAGATCGTACGCAGTGCATGGTCATCAATAAATGTCGTCCTGCAATAAATCTAACTCCAGGCCGCAGCGTGCAGTGTGCCCGTTTGGCTTTTGGAGAAAAAAGACTTCGATTCCGCGCTCTGTCGAGCGCAAGCTCCGCAATCTCTACACAAAACGTCCCTGCCCGGGGATTTGTGGTTCTCCGTGACACGTGCGCGCAGTGTTCTCGAACTTGGCATGGCTCGAAAACGATCTGGGTGAGACCGCACTCAGCGCAGATTTCATGGACGGATTTTATTTTACTGCTATACCTTCCTTGCTGCTGCTAGAACGCTCTTCCTTTTTCAGACGTCTGAAAATAGAGGTCCCATGTGGAAAACAGAAATGATAGGTACGACTCCACCCATGCAACCAGCGTGGACTATGTCTTCAATTGAGGGGGAACACTCATTATGGAGATAAAAAAGTTCAAGACAGCCCCGTGCTCGATCAACTCGTAGGCGTCCTTCCTTGTGCAGGTAGCCTTGTTCTCATTTGCTAAGAGTATCCCATTTCGCGGCATCACAGAGTAACGAGGGCGCTGCAGCCTTCATGAATGGCAGTTCCGGCTTAGTTGCCGCGCCCACCAGGACTCCACGGCTGTTTTCTGTCATAGATTCAGTTTCTGCACAGCGTTTTTGGTTTTTTGGGCCTTGGCTTTGGCACTCAGCATGGAGATGGTGTTCCGGGTTTTGAAGCACTGAGAGGTACCATTTTTTTTCTTTCTGGAGCATTTTCACCAGCGCATTTTCAAAACAGAACCTCTAAAATTAACAAAGCAGCATCAGCCAGTAAAGCAGCAACTTTCAAATTTACAGTTCAAATGGAATGTACACAGTCCACCGAACACAACACAACACAACAACAAACACCCACCTGCCGAACATCAGTATCCGAGATTCTCTGAAACAAGGACATGTTGGACTTTGAGACGGAAATGAAAACGAAACAATTCACAGAATTTCCAGACGCAGAGCACTTGAACGAAGTTAAGCTTACAGTCTTGTTCGTCGCGCATGGAGGGGTGTGCCAGACGGGATGAGTTATGACAGTGCCGTGCAACGATTACTC